AGCACTTTGAGTTATTTATAAACCATAAAGTCTTCGGGTGGGCCATCATCTTCGGGTGGGCCATTTGGCAGCATAAAGAAAAAAAACGTGTCTGCTCCTATTCATTCACGTGGTGGTCCCCCACGTTTCTTTTCTTTGCTCTGCTAGCCCCCACGTTTCTTTCCTTTGCTCTGCTAGCCCCCACGTTCATAATTCTTCCAAAACTGAGCCGACACCTAAGCAACCAAATATCTCACTTGTTGCGTTCAGTACGAAGTAAAACAATTCACGACAACGGACTCAATCCATAACAAGTCGAGACCCAAATGGGAGTGCGAACACTCTCCCAAAACGTCGGTATCTACTCACAAAATCGGTCTCACCCCCATCAAAATCCAACCCGGCTGCATCATAAAGACTGCCTACGTATCCTCTTGCCCAAGGAATCAAGCCTTCACGTAGTTCACCCAAATGGCTGCGAACGACCTCAATCCAATAGAAGAGTTCGCAACTCTTCTCCAATATCATCAACTCTGCGACTGATAGCACCTCCAATGGCCCCAAACTGAAACAATCCAAACACCTCCACCTGAGATGAACCAATGGCCATATCCAGACTACATCTATCAGCTGCACTCGAATCAAAACCTAACTCATTATCTGCATCCAAAACCAATTGATCCCAAAGCTGTGTCACCTCAGCTAGAATCCCAAATAATGCAGTATAATCTGGAGTAATCTTTACCCAATGTGAAGTAGCATCAATCTCCACCTGCTGTGATACAACTAAGGTCTGTCCAAAACTCTCCACCTGCTGAGAGTCAATTAGCTCCCTCATCGAAGCCTCAACCGAAGTGACACAACCAGGCCCATCTTCCAATGGAGTTTTACCTCTAATCACAGCAGTTGACAATTCTTTAATAGGATAACCCAAATATGTCGAAGCCTCAGTCCAGAAACTCTTCTGCAAACCATTGCTTGACAACAAACACCGATCCTCCTCCAGCAAGGCACGGTTCTCCAAATTTGCCACCCTATCAAGTTGCCCCAAGATTTCCTTTCTAACAAAGTGTCTCGCAATGCCGTGAGCTCGGCTCCAATACAGAAACAGGTCCATCTTATACCTCCTATCAAAATCATAATGAAGTACCTTAACCTTTCTGTCCATCTTATACTTCTTCAAACTGTTGGATACTACTAGGACTTTCTCCAAAAGGGATTTGGTTGCAACCCGAACACGCCTAGAACAGTCACCAACAAAGGAAACCAAACGCCTATTACCTCCTAATGATACCCCCTTGGAAGGCCCCCAAACATCCACGTGAACACCTCCAGAACGACCCTTAGCACGGTGAATAAAGGTGCCAAACTTCACCTCGGTCTTCTTGTTCACATCAACATGTTCACTAGACTTCAAACTGTAGGTCTTCACACCCTCTTTCAATCTATGCAAGGAATCAATATTAGAATGACCAAGCCCCAAATACCGTAGTCTAGTCGAATCAATAGAAGTCGCCAGTTCGCCACCTGCCACTATACCTCCAGTTAAGTAATACAGGTTATTCCTCCTGATGCCCTTCATCATAATCCGAGAGTCTTCCACAATCTTGAGAACCATGTCCTCAATTCGAACATTCAGACCCTCTCCAACCAAAGCTCCAATCGAGATCAAGTTCTTCCTCAAGGAAGGAATATATTTCACATCATATAACTCCCTAACAGTCTCATCAAACATCTTGATGCGAATTCTTCCTATCCCAAGATCTGACATGCACGATTATCGGCCATGTACACCACACCACTATCCAGCTTTTCAAAACTGGAGAACCATTCCCTTCTAGGGCACATATGATAGGTCGCACCACTATCCAACATCCATTTAGATTCCTCCGAATAGCTATCTGTAGGACTGATAGAAAGCGAATAAATAGAAGAGTTAGAATTATTATCATCCGATATAACGATGTTTGCTTCTGATGATTGTTGCTTCCCTTTTCCCTTCTGCTTATTCTTCATCCATTTGTCGAGCTTTGAGCAGTCTTTCTTCCAATGACCAGTCTCCTTGCACCAAGCACACTGATCTTTTCCAATTGTAGGATGTCCTACTCTAGACTGTGATCTCCAATTCTTTCGGTTCGGACCCTTCCCTCTTGCGGCCAACGCCTCTTCTACCGGCTCAGTCGAAGTCTCCTTATCTTTCTTCCGAAGCTGATAATTCACCAGTGCAGCAGTGACCTCACTATACGAAAGAGATGTCTTCCCATTAATCAAAGTAAGGACGAATGTCTCATATTCCTCGTCGGGCAAGGAACTCAACAACAGCAATGTCCTGTCCTCATCTTCAATCATGACATTCACATTCGTCAAATCCGCAAGAAGCTTTGTGTAGGTGTTCATGTGATCTCTAATTGAGGTTCACTTCTTCAACTGGAAACGATAAAGTCTCCTCTTCAAATGCAAGCGGTTCTCAACACTCTTTGTCAGATACTTGCTTTTGAGAATCTCCCAAATCTTCTTTGCAGAAGTCTCATTCATCACATCATATTTTAGATCTTGAGTCAAACAAGACCTAATCACACCACACGCCGTTCGATTCATCTTCTTCCAAACATTCTCTTTAATGTCATCTGGCTTGACATCTAACTCCAAGGTATCTTCCAAATTCTGCACGTTCAACGCATCCAAAACCCCGCATCTCCATAATCCAAAGTTGTTTGTGCCATTAAATTTCTCCATATCTATCTTCATAGAGTGTATATTCAAACTCTGAATGGTCTTCGCGCCAGAAGCACCACCCTCGATACCCAAAGCACATTCTTTCCCCGACATCTTTCTTAACGCACCAACGAACGAAGAATAGATCCAAAAACTGAAAAGATAGAGTCTTTACCAAAAGATCCCACCTTTATCACCAAACAAAGCCCTAGACGAGCTTCCAAATTGATCTACTTCTCCAAATAGCCCAAGCGTAGCCCGAGCTCTGATACCACTTGTTGTGCGTAGCGAAAGTTTCGACAGAGTTTCTGGTGCACAATAAGAGAGAAAGATCGATAAGAATTCCTGTCTCACTAAGGAAATAAGAATCTAAAGCGAATATCTCAACAAAGTGGGATATCGGCTCTTCCTCTCATCAGTTCTAGGACTGACTTGTCAGGGGATCCTAAAAACTATTACAATGACCACAAACACAAACAAATTAATTTTACGTGGTTCGACAAACTGCCTACGTCCACGGGGCAAGGAAGGGGAAGACCTCTAGGGAGAGAATACAACTAGGGTTTACAATCACTTAATCTAAACCCTCAAACAATCTCTCTCACACAAATATCTCTCTCAAAAGGGACAGCTGCCTCTGTACTTTGCTATAGCCAAAAAAAAGAATTTGTGTTTTCCTTTTGCTGCTCCTGCGCACCTCTGCCTTGAGCCTGCTGCAGCCGAAAACCACTTCTCCCCTACGTGCTTGCACGACACTGCAATTTACTTTTGCCTGCGCCCACCTTTCACCCCTTGCACACCCTAGGTTTTGGCAACTTTGAGTTATTTATTAACCATAAAGTCTTCGGGTGGGCCATCATCTTCGGGTGGGCCATTTGGCAGCAGAAAGAAAAAAAACGCGGCTGCTCCTATTCATTCACGTGGTGGTCCCCCACGTTTCTTTTCTTTGCTCCGCTGGCCCCCACGTTCACAACTTTAATATACTAAGTTATAAGAAAGTAGCGCTTTAATAAATTATGTTAGTTGTCGGGATATATTTTTAAGAATATTTCCATGACAATTACCAAAAGGTACTAAGGTGTTGATTTTTTTATAACTTAAGATATTAAAGTACTATTTGTTTATAATTTAGAGTATTTAAGTGTAAGTTTGATGAAACAATAAGGTATTCAAGTGCCATTTAGCCAAAATTTTATGATCTTAATTTTGCATCTAAATCCAAATGTGAAAACATTCTATGATCTTACTAGTTATCATGTTTGTTTACTGTAGGCGGGGGAATTAGAAAAAACTCTTTTTAATAGTGAAATTTATCGAGACAAATAGTGGAAATCTTTTATATCATAAAATCATCAAATTCGTTAGTTTTATGCTAGAACTATCGCTCTACGTATTATTGTAGTTTTATACTGAAACCATCACTCTACATATTTTTTACATCATGAGTTTTATAATGAAACCATCACCCTACGTATTATTTGCACGGTGATCATGCCATTCAGTTTATATTCCAACTAAAATGAAAAGAATAAGTAATTGCACATAGATCATTCTCATTTTTAAAATAAAAAGGTTTCTCGTCAACGTTAAACCTTCATGTGAGCGTTAGAAAATCATTATTAGTAGTACATGGCTGGACTACAAGCACATGTGTCGATAATAAAAAACATTTTATTTATATCATCCATTGATTATAACTCATGCCACTTGATTATAGCACATGTGCTTGATTGTAATGCCTATATAAAGTCATGTTCATTGCATGCAATAAGACCATCAAATTTTAATGCAATATTCTTCATTTCTATCAATAAGATTGCTACATTGGAAGCATCATGAGTAAAGCTAAATATAATAATGCCACAAGGAATATATCAGAAGAAATCGTAGCTTTTTGCCCCTCTTGAGTGTTTCCCACATAAAACATCTTCTTGAACATAGATAAAGCAAGTGCTACATTATCTTTGAAATAACAGGTTGATGTGCTCTAAAAAGCAAATTTTTGTAGTTCGTATAAGGCAAGGGAATGAGTCAATGGATCTGGAATTGAGAAGAGCAATTGAACATGTTCAAAAACTACACTACAACATACTAATATACCATAAAGACTTAAAACAATTTCTAATCACTACACTTGTACTATTCACCAGAGCTTGGATCATGAAAGGAGGGCCCAGGGTTCAGGGAGACAAGATAAGCACGAGTTTACAATTAAAAGACTTTAAACAAGCAGAGAAGAAAATAAAACCTGTCAATTATCTCACCATATAAGATGTTGGCGTCCAGAACAAAATTTATTAGAAATTTTAGAAACAAGAATAACTTCTTTACAACTCAAACTAAGAGATCGTAACATGAGGTAAAATGAATATAAGACAATCATGAATTTATTTGATTTAGGCTCTGTTTCATGCTAATCTCCAGCCTTCTGTGATCTTTTGGCATTGCAATTGGTATATGAATTCAGGCCCAGGCCCACTTGACTAATTGGCATAAAATAGGATCACTACCTACATTTTTTGCACGGAAACTATGAGTATGAACCGATTTATTATATGACAGAACAACAGACAAACACATAAAGAGGTAAAAAGCACTTACCAATGAGCAACTGCAAGTGTTAATCACTAAGCCCAGGATAATATTTTAGTTTAGAAATTTGAAATATTCCTGTGATTCCTTCATGCCTTCATCCTTTTCCACTTGTGAGAGTTCCAAAACGTCGAGCCCATTGTTCGTCTTCACTCTCAGCACGATTCCAGCGTGTCCTGAATTTTTTCAGCTCCGCAGTTGACTGCCTTCTGATCTGTAAAGATTGGCCGCAAGGAAATTTTTTATTATTATCACTGTTATAAGGAAGAGACATGCAATTCTAAACAATATTATGATAAAATCTGCTTTGTGCTCACATGAGTTCTTAAATCCAATGTTTTATAGCCTGGCGCCTGTAATAAGAGAAAGGGCACAGGATTAATATTAGCAATTTCTACTTTGTTTCAAAGAAGTGTGAATATTCGGAAGGGAAGTTCAAGTGGTACATGGATCTAAATTCCTGTACAAAAACCTGATAAATAAAAACCCAATGGCAAATGACAGTACTATATTTGAAGCGAAAGTAGGGACAAGAAAATGCTACGAAATAACTTTCAACTTTGAACATTCAGATAATAAAGAAAACCATTTTAAAACAAAACCTATTTTCTTATAGAGGAATTTAATGAAAATTTAAACACATCCCATAATACTACCTGAGCTATTATTTCACTGTTTGTATATAAATTACCATAGAATGGACAACAAACAGGCCCTTAAGCAGTCCTCTCAAGCATGCGCATGTGTGATTCCATGCCAGTGTGTGGGTTTTTTTTTTTTTTTGGGGTGTGGGGGGGGGGTTGTTGGGTTTTCTAGAGGAATGAAAATTGTTGGAAGGCAGTAGGAGTCAAATATCCCAATGATGGCGTCTGTTTTCTTGGTATCCTTCTAGCAGATTATTATTATTATTATTTAAAACCATACTTTCTAGTATGGTAAAGTGAACAATTAGCCAGATAGCTAGACATAGAGAGGAGTAAACTGTCCTCACCAGCTGCCCACAATTTTGATGATTTCCGATCAAAATATACGGTTAATCGTACACCTGTTTAAAATTTCCTAATTCTGTATTTATCTTGCTTCTTCAAATGAAAACACCTTGGTTAGACACTCACAGCTTTTATAGGAAAAAGAAGTGTATATAAATTCACAAGTAAAGATATTGAGGAGGAATGGGAAAAAAAGATTGTCTGCATATGGCCTTAGCTGGACCTTAGTAGCAGATGCCCCTCCCAAGGATGGTATTCCTAAGTGAACAACGTATTCGGTGTCAATCACTCCAACCTTCTTCGTTCGATCACCCTGAAAGTCCATGAAGATGTACCCTAATTCAGTTAGATTATTCAAAATTCTGGAAATATAAAGATCCATGATAAAGAAGTATGTAAAGTGAAATTACCTTTGAAAAACACAATGGGATAGTAAAAACGATTTAGCAAACCTAATGAGTACTGAATTAAGAACAACATAAGTAAACAGTTCATTACTTGCAAAATTAAATCTCTGCAAGGGACAGCATGAAAAACTAAATAACCAGCTAAAAATGAATTAAGCCGTTTATCGAATAAACCACTTTCATAAGCATCATATTTTGTATAAAATTGCATCAGATTCTAAGACCTTGAATTGCATGGATAAGTAATATTAAATGGAAAAATGGTTGTGATTCAAGTGTCCCGTTAAATGAAGCATCTCCTAGTTAAGAGCGAAAAGTAAGATCAGGAACCACATGTATGAAACTGTGAATAAAGCTGCATCTACTACACTGGACCACAAATTAATTACGTATTCAAACAATAAATCACTTAGTATCCCAAGTCTAAATTTTTTGCAATGAACCACTGGACCACAAATTAGTTATTAGGCAGTTCCCAGGATAGATTGCATAACCAAAAATTAACATTATCAATATCCATCCAAATTCTCAATGGATAAATGTGTGAAGAGCCAACAAAAAAGAAACATCAGTCAAACAGATAGTATTTACCAGCTGGTCAAGGTAATAAAGAATAAAAACTGAAGTTATCAATTCAATCACCTGAGCACAATATCCAAGCTTCATATCCAAACCCCATCCATGAATCAAGTCATTCTACATAATCAAAGTTATAACTGTTATGAAATTAACAAAAAAACATAAACATAAATGACTATCATAAATAGTAAACAAGATTACTTAATGTTCATATATAAATACTAAGACTTTTGCGGTGCCTTTAAGCACAAGCTCCACAAGTTTTGATACCGTCTTAAACATATTCTACCACATAAAAATGGTAAAAAGTCCACGACTAGTAGAGAAGCATAAATCTTATGTAAATTCTCAGAGATCAAAATGAACTGGTGATTCCGCAAATTAAGTTTCAAGTTCCACTTGCAATGTTTGACCTCAAAAAAATGAAGGTACGGGTATATTTCTTGGGAAGTTCATTCCGAAACAGGCTAAGAAGATGACTAGATACTTTGTAAGGATGGCAAGTACCAATTATCACACAAACTTTACAAATGGAATTTCAAATTTGGACCTGGATAAGATGCCAAACACATCGCCATGCAGCTCGAGAGAACACAGGTGCCATTCCTTCAACCCATCTATCATATGAAAAGAAAATTTTATGAAAATCAAGATTTCCACTAAATGTTGGGAGAAAAAACCATCAACAGCTACCTAATTATGTGGTCAAATATATGCCATAGGATCACACAACGAACGTGTTAGACAAGAAGATAATACATGCCTACTTAGTGAACAAGGAAAACAAAAGACGATATTTTAAATATCTAAATATAGTTTCTTCAAAGTAGAGATAAGATGTGTGTATGATACAGAAATGAGGCATGCATAAAAACACACACGCACAAACAACGCAACGGCCACCAAGTCAGTTCATTTGACATTATAATTTGCTATTTTAATGCAATTAATATATATAATATCTTAGCACACCTTCAGCATGCTTTTGACATTATAATTTGCTATTTCGCACTGCCTTAGTTCAACTGTTTGATACAACTAGCTATCTAGTGAAGATGATTTACAAAGTAGTTATGGGTTCAACGTGCTGTAAGTTAATAGCACCAAATCAGCACAAGACAAGCTCCATTTAAATCATTAAACAAGACAATCTCCATAATACTAACAAAAGTACTGTATAGAATTAAAACAAACAAACATGTTTATAAAAAAGACCGTCATTTATCTCATTCTTTCAACTTTCAATTCTCTAATAGAAAAATTCTCAACAATAGAAAAATATTGATTAGTAGCAACATAATTGTATTAACTATGTGAAACTTGACATAAAAATAAAGTCTTCAAGCATAGATAAACGAGCACTATTTACCGCTATTTGCAGCTATTTGCCGCTATTTTGCGCTTTCAAGCGTTTTGGCGAGCTAAAAGTGCTCACAAGCGCTATTGTCCACTGCAATCGATGAAATCGCAATGGTAAATTCCGTTATGCTATTTACGCCGCAATATCACCACCATTGGCTGTTATTTACAACAGTGATTCATATTATAGTGGAAGGTTAATATAATGTCCAGTCTCTACATCGCTAATTTCAACCACTAGTATGAAGATGTCACCACTCACCAGTCCACACTTTTATCATGCGCAAAAACAACTACTTCATTGTTAATGTTAGTTTTATGATTAGAGAACAGTTGTTCTTTTCCTTCTTATCTTCCCTACTTGTCGTAAGCATTGATAAGCAACCGCATGGACAACAGGCCTTCATCTCCCATCTACTAAGTTGTTACCTAGGATGATATATAATCATATAAACTAGAGAATGTTCAGACTTGTGACTTTTGACAGTTGGTTGTGAGAAGTCCTCATAATGGGCTAAATCTCCTCGATGCAAAGAGAAGAACCAAGCAAAGAGAAGAACCAAACAAGGTTAATCTATCTAAACTCAGGTTCTCAATAGTTAATCTATCTAAACTAAGACAACAGGCCAACTATAGCTACATGGTTCGCGGTATGTAGCGGGTCGTCGTACGAATTCCGGTATGCAATTCGAGCCTTCGAAATTTTGGATTCGACATGGAGTAGCTTGCTTTGATAGGCAAGTTCGATATAGGATACGATGTAAATTTTTTTGGTACGCTTATCATTTTTTAAAGTGTGTAGTAGAAAATTAGAAACTAGAAAACTAATTAAACATTTCAATGTTTTTTCATATAAAATACTTCAATACTTCTTTTTTATAGTTTATGAATACATAAAACTTAAAATATTAAATATTAGACAGCCTCTTAATATTATTTTTTCTATTTTGCGACTCTCTTCCCCTTAACATCAAGTGCATGATGCATCTTTTGCCAATTCCGAGTCCAAGCAATTACATCTAAGCTCCTCCAACTTACTTGAAGAGTCCTCCAAGTTATCATTATTGAGATCCATATCACATCCTTTATATGGACCAACTTTATAATTCTCACAAAATCCTGACTGGAGATGAATGTTTGAATGGATAAATACTAAATCCGTTTTTTACTGTTCAATCTATTCCTTTTCACACTATGTATGTAGGAATAAGTACGCCAATTTCTCTCAGCTAAAAGCGACTGATAGGCCGAGACAAAATCTTCTAGCAACATCGGTTAGAAAAATAGTGATCTAGAATTACTGAATTGGTTATTAACTTTGGATAACTTCCACTTACTGAAAGAATACTTTCAATAATATTATCGAAACATGTAATAAGAATCCAAGCACAAGTGCATGAAAATAGACTTGTAAATTGTTGACATATTAATAATATGAAGGGGGTTATTTGTAAGTTTGTGTTTGTAAGGGCCTATATAAGCCCAAGAGATTTCACAATAATGTTAGGTTTTCAATTCAACATGGTATCAGAGCCTAGCCGCCGCCAACCCTAACCCTAACCCTAGCCGACGCCCCCCCCCCTCTCCCCTTCGAGGCCTGCCTCCAAAAAAAAACCCGACCCTCCGTACCCCGTTGATCCCTTTCGAGCCGCTGCCACCCGCACCACTTGTTGCGCGTAGCAAAAATTTCGATAGCACTTCGATAGCACAATAAAAGAGTCAAGTCGCAATAGGAATTCTTGTTTTACAAAGGAAACAAGAACCTTAAGCAAAATATCTCAACAAAGTGGGATATCAGCTCTTCCTCTCATCAGTTCTAAGACTGACCTGTCGAGGGAACCTAAACAAACTATTACAAATCACAGCAACTAGCGAGACAAACAATTTTACATGGTTCGATAAATTGCCTACGTGCACAGGGCAAGGAAACGGAAGATCTACTATTAGAGGGAGAGAATACAACTAGGGTTTACAATCACACAACTTAATCCCTCAACCAAGCTCTCAAATCACTCACTCAAATTCTCTCTCAAAACAGCAAAACAAAAGCTCTCTTTTTCATGCAACCGCACACCACAAACCCTTGCACGCAGCCCAAAGAACTCTGACGCGTTTTTTTCTCTTCACCCAGCCCTCTACCTTGCTACAGCACGCACAAAACCCTAGGCTATATATATAGCTTGGAAATCGGGTAGGCCTTGCTTTTCGGTGTTCACGGGAGCGAAAAAGAGACGCACATATGGCCCCCACAAGACGCGTGAAAACGCGTTCACAATTACAGTCTACGATGGGGTATGTGTTTACTTTGACCCGTACGCCGGAGTGTTGGAGATGCACCTTACAGTCTATGGTGGTTTTGTCTACGACAGAGACAGAGTATATGGTAATTACAGAGGCTGTGAAGGAGGCTATTTGGCTTCGAGGATTTTTGAAAGAACTTGGTATATCACAACAGTCCGTCACTATTTATTATGATAGCATGAGTGCTATCTATTTGGCGAAGAATCAGGTTTTTCATGCTGAAGACGAAGCATATTGTGTTCGTTATCACTTCATTCGAGATGTTCTTAAAAATGGCGATGTGAAGATTGTGAAAGTCCACACGAAGGATAATCCGACGGATATGCTCACTAAGGTAGTTCCGAGCAACAAGTTTAATCATTATCGAAACTTGTTGCACATTCGTGATTGTTGAGGCCATTGGCGGCCATTTGGGTGAACTACGTAATGTTTGATTCCTTAGGCAAGAGGATACGTAGGTAGTCTTTACGATGCAGCCAGTTTGAATTAGTTAATTTTGATGAGGGTGAGATTATTTGGACTCTCGTTTGGGTTCCCGACTTGTTATGAATTGAGTCTGTTGTCGTGGATTTACTTCACTTCGTACTAGACATAACAAATGAGACATTTGAATGCTTTGGTGTCGGCTCGATTTTGAAAGAAACTTCACCGAGGTGGAGAAATGTGAACGTGTTTTCACGCGTCTTGTGAGGGCCACATGTGTGTCTCTTTTCTGCTCCCGTGAACACCGAAAAGCAAGGCCCACCCGATTTCCAAGCTATATATATAGCCTAGGGTTTTGTGCGTGCTGTAGCAAGGCAGAGGGCCGGGTGAAGAAAAAAAACACGGCAGAGTTCTTTGGACTGCGTGCAAGGGTTTGTGGTGTGCGGCTGCAGAAAGAAAAAGAGCTTTTGTTTGCTGTTTTGAGAGAGAATTTGAGTGAGGGATTTGAGAGCTTGGTTGAGGGATTTGAGAGCTTGGTTGAGGGTTTAAGTTGTGTGATTATAAATCCTAGTTGTATTCTCTCCCTCTAATAGTAGATCTCTCCCCCCCCTCCTTACCCCGTGGACGTAGATAATTTCTCGAACCACGTAAAATTGGTTGTCTCGCTGGTTGTTGTGATTTGTAATAGTTTGTTTAGGTTCCCTCGACAGATCAGTCCTAGAACTGATGAGAGGAAGAGCTGATATCCCACTTTGTTGAGATATTTTACTCAAGGTTCTTGTTTTTTTTGTGAAATAAGAATTCCTATTACGACCTGACTCTCTTGTTGTGCTGTCGAAATTTTCTGTTGCGCGTATCGAGTGCGCTGTCACCCCGCTACCGCCCGTGCCACCTCCCTTCAAGCCGCCTGCCACCCACGTAGTTGCTGCCGTTGAACCACCCGCACCCTTCGAGTCGCTGCCACCGCGCCCGCTGCTGCCCGTTGAACCACCCTGTACCCACTGCCACCTCGTTGCCACCCGCACCCCCCGGCGCATCGCTGCTGCCTCAGCCGATGATGTGTAGCTTGTTGGATTCCCTCGACATTTCAGTCCTAGAACTGATGAGAGGAAGAGTGTATATCTCACGGTGTTGAGATATATCACTTTCGATTCTTATGTCCATTGAGAAACAAGAATTTAGTTGAGATCTTACTCTTGTTGTGCAGCAGAAGTGCTGTCGAATTTTTTACTGCGCATAACAAGGGTTCGAAGAGAAGGAGAACATGTGTTTGATCTAGAGCCTGATCGATGGAGGAGATCATCAAAAAGTTGAACCCCGCGGAGGTGTCAACTTTGATGCAGTTGATGAAGTTGTCGGCTGGTGAGAGCGCGACAAGGCCACCGACGAAGTTAGAACTTTCGTATATCGATCTGAAGCTTGATGGACCGACTACTTACCTGAGTTGGTCATGACGGGTGAGATACACCATTGCAGGGAGGAACCTGGAGGAGTACTTGACAGGAGAGAAGACAGAGTCGGCTAAGAGCTCGGCGGGAAGAGATGAGTGAAAGCTCACTCATATGTTGGTATACCTCTGACTCCTCAACTCCTTGATCTAGTCGATCGTCATCACAGTGGATGGCATTGATAAGGTGAATGATGTCTGGGAGAAGTTGAGGAGGACCTGTGATGGGGTGGGGAATAACCTGTGGGTGTTCCAGATCAAGGGAGAGATCGACGCCACACTTCAGGGAGAGAAGATTGTACAGGAGTATGCCACAGAGTTGGAGCGTCTGTGACTAGATTATGATCACTTCTCATCTCGGACGAGCTGCAAAAATCCGGAGTGTAAAGAGCGAGAGGCCTTTTTACAGGAGAGGACTATGGTGTTTCTCAAGGGACTGACATCAGAGTTTGCTCAGAGGGTTGCATTGCTGCTAGCTCAACCGAAGATTCCCACACTTCAGGAGGTAGTCTCGGTCATGATCCAGGAAGAGACTCGTATTAGTCTGCAATCGAGGACAGGTGGACTTCCTGTGGTGAAATCAGCACTGGCAGCCTCTAGCAACACTGGATCCAAGGGGAAAACTCGACAGTGCTACAACTGGGTGAAGTGGGTCATCTAAGGCATGCTTGCACCAAGTCACTTAAGGAAGAAGATTCGGGTGGACGTGGACAGTTCAGAGGTCGTGGTCGTGGCCGTGGGGGTCGATGAGGTGGAAAAGGAGCAGAAAAACCGGACAAATCTGATGGTAGCAGAGGAAGAAGAAGCATCTGAGGTGGTCTTTACTGAGGAGGATCATGCGCTCCTGGAGATACTCAGGAGGAGCAGAGAGTAACAGGAGATGGAGACAGGAGGAGTGGGACTGAGAAGGCATCCACTTCGTTCTTCGCCAGAGGCAACACTGCCACTTATGCTCATCCGACCAAAGATACTGATGACATACATGCTCTTGCTTCTATGTCTCCCGATAGATCATCAGAATGGATAATCGACTCCGGTGCATCTCGACATGTGACAGATAATGCTAGTGAGTTCTCATCATATACTCACCTAGCATCGGCTGATAGTATCCAAATAACTGATGGTACATTTCAGCCAGTGATTGGTAAGGATACAATCAATTGTACAGGTTTTGTAACTTTGTCCAATATTTTGCATGCTCCTTCATTTCCGATCAATCTTTTGTCCATTAGTGCTATCATACTCTAACTAAAATACGCAAGGACGGAGACTTAGAACTGGCACATGGAGTAGTGGAATGTGGCACCTGGATCGTGAAGGGCTGGATTCAGCGTTGGTGTCAATAGTGGAGAGAGCAGGAGTAGGATCTACGATGAGTGCTGAGAGTGTGTTGATGCTTCATCACCAGCGTTTGGGACACTCATACTTTAGTGTTTTAAGTAGGTTGTATCCATCTTTATTTGAGAAAGCAAATAAATAGAAACTTATGTGCGATGCATGTGAGTTTGGAAAGCTTACTAGAAGCTCTTATGTTAGTTCTGATCATAGGAGTTCTCATGTATTTGACCTAATATATTCAGATGTTTGGGGATCTTGTTCCACAAGTTTTATGAATGGATACAAGTATTTTGTTACCTTCATTGATTGCTTCTCTCGCGTTACTTGGTTCCACAAGTTTTATGAATGGATACAAGTATTTTGTTACCTTCATTGATTGCTTCTCTCGCGTTACTTGGTTATACTTGATTACAAGTATTTTGTTACCTTCATTGATTGCTTCTCTCGCGTTACTTGGTTATACTTGATGAAAAATAAGAATGAAGTGTTTGGTTGCTTCCAAAACTTTCATAAGTATGTTCAGACTCAATACGAAGCAGTGTTGAAGGTATTAAGGTCTGATAATGGGACAAAATATACAAATAGAACGCTTGGGGAATACTTGTCAGCTCAAGGAATACAGCACCAGACTATATATCCATACACACCAGCTCAGAATAGGATAGCGAAAAGGAAGAACATATATCTTTTAGATGTTGCTAGAAGCATGATGATCTCCATGAATGTTTCAGAAACATTATAGGGGCAAGCAGTGTTAACCGCAACTCATTTGATCAACAGATTGCCCTCGAGAGTGTTGGATTGAAAGTCTTCGTGTGAGACGTTAAAGGGAGATAATTGTGGGATACTTCCACTTCCACTAAAGGTGTTTGGCTGTGTATGCTTTGTGAAGAACAGACCATCCGTAGGGAAGCTTGCCCCTAGAACAGTGAAATGCATCTTTGTGAGATATTCTGCTACTCAGAAGGGATATGTTTGTTGGAGCCCGGTGGAGAAGAGGCTGTTTGTGAGCATAGATGTGCACTTTCGAGAACTCGAACCATATTACACCCGGGAGGTAACTTCATCCGTTGGTAACTCACCCGATACTAAAATTATGAGGCGAAAGGGGGAGAATGGTGAGAGACAGGTGAACAATATGGATAATAATGCCTAGAAATCAATTTCTCTATCGATTCATTGGGAGAGAAATGATTGAGGAGGAGCAGGAGAATGAAGAAGAAGAGGAGACAAGAAGTGTTAGGCCCACAGTTCAGGGGGAGCTACTTATCTATAGTAGGAAAGTGAAGCAGATTACAGGAACAGTACCTACAATGTCACTGGTACCAAGTCCCTTGCCAACGCCTGTCCCAACTCCTGAGACACCTACACCACCACCAGATTCCTCCCAACGTAATATCATTCCTCTCCTTACTCCTCTCACACCAATGTCAGTACGGAGGACTACTCGCAGTAATACGAAAAATCCTCCTGATAGATACGAAAAATTCAAGGTGAAAGATCTTGGCTTGCTTCGATACTTTCTTGGAATAGAGATAGCTCGAGGAGCGGAGGGGATTTTCCTATCCCAAATGAAATATGCAATGGATCTTCTCAAAGAGACAGGGATGTTAGGGTGCAAACCTGCAACTACACCGATCGATCAGAAGTTCAAACTGGGTGCTGAGGCTGGAGAACCAGTTGATCGTGACAGATACCAGAGCCTGGTGGGCAGGTTGATCTATTTGAGTCACATACGTCCCGATATCTCTTTTGAAGTGAGCGTGGTGAGTCGCTATATGCATGATCCGAGGAAGGGTCATATGAACGCAGTGTACCAGATTCTGAGGCATTTGAATAGTATCCCCGGATAGGGCTGATATTCAGGAAGAATGAACACGTGAGCATTGAGGGTTACTGTGATTCTGATTGGGCTAGCTGTGCTGATGACAAGAGACCAACCTCAGGATATTGTATCTTTATAGGAGGTAACTTGGTCTCGTGAAAGAGCAAGAAGCAGTCAGTGGTGACGAGGTCGATAGCTGAGGCAGAGTATAGAGTTATGGTATTGGGAGTTACGGAGTTGCTGTGGCTGAAGAGTATGCTGGTGGAGCTGAAGCTGGATCAAGGAGCCAAGATGAAACTGTGGTGTGATAACAAGTCAGCCATCAGTATTGCCAACAACCCAGTGCAGCATGATAGAACCAAACACTGATAACAAGTCAGCCATCAGTATTGCCAACAACCCAGTGCAGCATGATAGAACCAAACACATCGAGATCGATATGTTCTTCATCAAAGAGAAGTTACCCAGTGCAGCATGATAGAACCAAACACATCGAGATCGATATGTTCTTCATCAAAGAGAAGTTGGACAGCGGACTACTAGAGTTAAGTCATGTTCCAATTAAAGATCAGGCAGCAGACTGTCTGACTAAAGGACTTCGCTCGGTAGATATGATTAGAGGATGTGACAAGATGGGCTTAGTGGATATCTTTCGCCCATCTTGAGGAGTGTTGACATATTAATAATATGAAGGAGGCTATTTGTAAGTTTGTGTTTGTAATGACCTATATAAGCCCAAGAGATTTCATAATAATGTTAGGTTTTCAATTCAACATAAATCAACTTTGCTCAAATCATACTTAGTAAGCGGTACGCTAATTTTGGGGAACTAATTCGTGTGTCGGAGGGAATCAGTTTGTAAATGTACCGGGAAATCAATTCGCATGAATTGTTCGACAGTTGGGGAGGGGGGTCTAGGGAATCGCACAACCATGAGCCATGAGGCCAACATTCATTTAATAAGCATAAATTAAACCTGACCTAAACTATCAGTAGTAAGGTAGAGTTTTTCTGAGTTAAAGAGAAGTTAAATATGTTCTATTGCTTCTGATAGAAGAAGTTAGGAACGTAGGCAACTAAATTTCAATTTTAATCACAACCATATCAATCACAGGGAGACTTTTTCCACAATACTGAAATGAGTTAAAACCACTAAGCTCATTGTTGTTCATACCCAGTACACGGAGGTCCTGTGCTTTCATCAGAGCAGTTCAGGCTTCCACGATAATCATAAACTCGCCTATGTAACAGAAGAACAAAGGATAATAAGCTGTAATAGAAATCCAGAAGATAAACCAAAGGGTCAAAGAATGATAGATTTACCTATGGACCTTTGTCTTCCTATCTCGAACTGTAATGCGGTGATGAATATCAGATGATAGCTCCGGATCCAAAGCAGGCTGTGAAATCTCTAATTCTTCAGAAAGCATTAGCTGCATATACCTGTGCGTTCATAGATGAAAAGTAATATAATAAAATTCATAGTTTTCAACATTCCTTTGAGTACCGGGTCTAGACAGATAAATTAGTGAAAAGTGTTTTGCTAAGGTAAAATGTACATGGTCCAAAGTGGGAGAGAGAGAGAGAGAGAGAGAGAGAGAGAGAGAGAGAGAGAGAGAGAGAGAGAGAGAGAGAGAGAGAGAGAGAGAGAGAGAGAGAGAGAGAGAGAGAGAGAAACAAGATCAGTTCTCAGCTTAGAGCAGCTTGCATTTTGTGTGCCTCAAAATACATATAAAAAGATAGTGCATTTTCAAATTTAACATAGATAAACTATTGCAATATTACAAGGAAACAAGTTACTAGACTGTAACTGAAAGGAAAAATATACATAACATGTGTCTTCGACTGCATGGTATTATATTGCTATGCCTAAAGCTATCAAATGCGAATTACCTGAAACTGGATTCTGAAACCAACTTATACGTGCTACTGACAAAGTATTCCTAATATAAGGATATTATTTCCAATGTATTATTGTTAAACCTTTTAAAGAGTTGACTTGTTTATTTCTTCAAATTTTCAATTTCTTAAAGCATTGCTGCAGCATAGTGAAAACGCTGACATGAATTCATGGAAAACAAATAGTAGGATGACTTAGAGTTGTTCTTTAAAAAAACTTAAAAAACAAAAGCACTGTACTAAAACAAATGGCAGAAGACACTGGTGGAGCCAGAAAGTTAGGCTTTTTTGGGTAAAAATAATCATAGCAATAATCACATTCAATAATGTCAACAGTTTTTTAGAGAAATAGTGGAGTTTCAAGCTCGAAAACCACAATCAAATATTTCATTTGAAATGACTGTCTACAGAAAAGAAAGGACTACTCCCAACGCCCAAAGTATAGCGAAAATTAATACAACCAGCTTACTAAAAATAATACCACCAAACTTGAAAATGATGTATACAAACTACCCAAAAAAACTTTATTCGGAAATCTTTGCAGAATTGCATCATTATTGACAGTATCAAAACCATTAGATTTGATATAAATTACATATTAAACAGACATTCATCAATTGATCTCCTATATGGTTATATAGTTTAGTTTCAACGATATCCATAGTTGAAAATATTCTCTAAATACTTGCAGTTGCAATGGCAAAATCAATGTGAATTTTACAAGCTTATAAAAAAGAGACCACAACTTTCCTCCGCAATTTTAAGAGAACTTTGCTATTTATTGATTTTTAACCATTTATTTTATGTAAACGCTTTCTAGCCTACATTTTTGGGGGGTAAAGGTAAGTAAACTTTGCATTTTGGATGCATGAGACATATAGAACTATGCGGCTTTTAAAGTAAATGCGGGTAAAACTTAGGGTTTATAACTAAAAATCTTTTCCAATGCTCCATATTGTTTCAATGTTGACGAGCATCAAAAAAATTCGAAGTAGAAAGAAGAAATGTCTAGAAAAGGACAAATTTATGCCAAGTGGGAAATAGAAATGGAAGATATTAATGAACGAAGGCAAGAAAGAATAGGATTATTGATCAGCCAACTCAAAGGGACAAAGGTAAAGATGGACCTAGGGTACTTTTACTGGTGGTTGCCTGCAAGCATTACACAAAGTCCCCGGGGGGGGGGGGGGGGGGGCCCACTTGAGACCCCTCCTTCCACCCCTGCCCGAAGATGGGGTACTTCAGAATATCGAACTTACAATACCTTCCATGATGGAAATTCTGCATACCTAAGTCTTAATCCCAAATAAATACATCACACACATTTTTACTGCACAATCAGAATACATCTACAAGACTACAACATATTTAAGAACATCAAACTGAGACAAAATACCTTCCAGGATGAAAATTCTCCACTCCTAAGTCTTCATCCCACAAAAAGATATAGTCGTAAACAGATACCACATCTGGATGCAAAAATCGTTTTGCAAACCACCTGCAACGAGTAGATATACTTATAAACCACTTCATAAGAATCACCGACAGCCAAGATGATTTAGAAATACTTTGAAATGGACCAAACAAGTCATGTATATACACAAGAAAAGTCAAAATACTGTACATGTGCCGCATTCATATGCTAGTGCATGTAAAATATGAATGCACATAAACATTAATGACAATGGAAGGCAGCAAGAAGAGTCCAAACACAACATATTACATAGTATAAATGAATGAAAATTAATACATATAATACTAAGTGTTTATAAGTATTTACGGTACTTGTAAAATTCAGACATTCTAGGAATATATCATAGGTTGGAGAGTGATTAGGAGAAACGTCAGAGAAGGAAATTGGGGAGCAAGTAGAAATTTCCCAGAATTTAGAGAATATGATAACTGTTCTATAACTTACTGGTTGTAAATGAGAAGCTAGTGAGATAGATATGCTTTTCTTGCTTAGCATCAGACAAATATTATCAGTAGAAGCATTAGAGAAGAAAAAATAAGGAAATTTCCCAGAATTAGAGAATGTGATAATTGTTCTATAAATTACATTGTAGTGGAAAAGATCAAGAAGGATAAATATTGTGTTCTGGTTTCTAATTAGATAATAAATCTGAATGTGTACAAAGAGACAGAAACATCCTTGTTCGAGAAGGACAATACATGATGGCCACCATTTACATATCGTGCCATCCACATACAGAAACTCAATGTACAGATTACCCCTATAGATATATGCATGGTCTTGATAGAAAAAAGTTTTTCAAAAGTTACTTATAAAGAGGAAAAATACCACTTTGTCTGGTTATGAGCTAGTATGTGTATTGCTCTATCGTTCCACTCGAGATCACGCCATTCATCCACGTTCCCGTCATAATGAAATACTATAACTGAGCACTTTGCTAGAAGAAACTGAGCTAAAAGAAGTGAAAAATATATTAGTTATCAATGAAAGCTGAGGGGAAGAAGAAATAGTATTTTCTGACTAGTTTAAGATAGAAGATAGAAATGCATGCAAACCTTACTAACTATAAGATCGACATTCTGCTTCTGAGAAACACCAACAGCCATTGCCAACAACGCAGTGAAATTTTCTTTCTTATCCTGTAAAGAACGAGATATTATTTACCACCTATGGACAAATTAATAACTGAAGTATGTATGCAAAAAAACCAGTCAGGATAAGATACAAGGGGTCAACAGAATCTACTTGGAATTCTAGACGCAGCTTTACAGGCCTAAGAGGAAGCTTGATGTTGTCTACGTAAAAAACGCATACCTAACTAAGTGTATTCGCAACGCCGCATATGCTGTCAATTGTGGAGAGGTGCCCACGTCAACTTTGGAAAGTTATAACTTCCATGAAAAATCAAAGTTTCTTTTATACAGAGACCAAATCCGATTTTAAATTTTACGAAAATGTTTTGGGGGGGAAAATCCCTTCTCCCCTCTTTCCAATCTCCAATCTCATAGAAAATTCAGTTTCTTAAAATCCGAAAATTTTAATCTCTAGTAAAAGTTTATTTTTTCAGCAGTTGGGAATTCTTGGCAAATACTTGCCATTATAGATTAACAAGAGCTTTCTTTAGTTTTCTATTTATAGCAACTAATTGATCTAAGTAACCCCAACTTATTAACGATTATGCATTATTTTGCATTATATTCATGACTCTCATGTTTGGCTAATAAGTATTAATAACCTCATTAATTAAGCGGCCATCCCCCAAGTTGCCAGTATTCTAATTATAGAAAGTAATAAACCCATACGCCAAATTTTTTTTTTAAATACGCCAAATGCTATCAAATTAGAAAGGAAAAACAATCAAGGGAATTCGTCGTTACTTTAGACCTCGAGCCCTCCCAAAGGGGCTTCAACTCCAAGTCCGACTCCGACTCCACAATGCCACGTGGCAGTCCCCATACCTCGCTCTTCCACTCGTCCCTCTGCACAAACACAAGGGCGACACGGTAATTATGCATAAGACCGGAGAAAATAGCGAGCTACGGAGTGGCTGAGTGAGGGAGCACCTCGGTGTGATCCAACTGGATCTTCATCGAGAGGAAGAAGAGGAAAGCCATGGCGATCGCGAAGAAACCGAAGGAAGCTCTCTTCTTCATCGTACGGAGCTAGGGTTAGGGTTTCTGATTTATTTATTTTTCGGTGCACTTTTTTTTTAGTGGGGGGGTTTTCTTTTTTTGATGCGGGAATTAAGGAAGGAGATGAACGCCTTTCGCTCGCTTTTGGGCTCTGTATAGAGAGTGCAGACATGCGGGTAAATATGCGTGCTTGAGAGAGGATCCGACGGGTCATACAGATCACGGAACAATGTAATGAAGAAACATAAAATCTATGGTTGGTGTTTTTATTTTAGGAATTTTTGGATATTTGCGTCTTAATATTTTTTAGTATTCTGAGAACAGCCCCTTAAATTATGTAATTTTCCCCAACCCTTATATCACGTTACTGTTGTCTTTTATTGGAGGGATAATTTAAACAATTTAAATATAATAGAAATTTCTCAATCATTTGTGGGAGTGATTTACAAAGATTGAAGATTCAAGGGAGTATCGTGAAAAGAGAACCCTATCATATAATTCTTTTAATGGAAAAAAGAGAGCCCTATTATAAAACTGGATTTTGTTTGGATTAGACTCGTGATTTATCTTTCAATTTACAATTAGACATTTAAATCACCTTTCCATTTCTATATTGCGCTATTTCTCTTTTTTTTCAAGATTTGACTAAATCACCGCGGACATACTTACTATTAAATCATTAATTAACCCTTTTTTAAGGGTCTACTTGGATTGGAGTGAATAAGGAAGAAGGGAACGTAAGTAAGACATTCACGTTGTTTGGATAGCTTAAATAGGTCTCTCTAGTTCATCTCAGTTCACTCTCAACAGTACGAAAATTATTTCTACTCAAATTGGGAAATAACCGACGGAAGGAAACTCCCTTAACTTCTCTTCTCTTCTCTTCTCTCCTATATTTTCCGTTAACTTTCCTTACCCTCAGGGGCGGAGTTACATTGAGTCCAATGGGGTCCTAGGACCCCAGTAAAATCTAAATATGTATCAGATATTACATATAAAAAATATAAGTGCAGCAATGGTCCAGTGGTTTAACACTCCAGGACCCCTGTAATCCACCAGAGTTCGAGTCTGCTGGGCTGCATATTTTCACCATTTTTTTGGACCCCATATGTGTTTTTAAATTATAGTTTGTCATTAAAATAATTTGTGCGTAAAATCTACATTTTTTTGGACCCCATATGTGTTTTTAAATTATAGTTTGTCATTAAAATAATTTGTGCGTAAAATCTACATTATCAATAATTTTGTCATTAAAATAATTTGTGCGTAAAATCTACATTATCAATAATTTTAGGACCCCATATGTTAAAAATTCTGGCTCCGCCACTGCTTACCCTCATAAAATCCAAGCACACCCTAAGTGAGAAAGAAAAAAACAAGGGCGAGACCATCAGACCAATCCGATTGAAATAACAGAAGTTATTGAGGGGCAAATCAATGAATTTGATGTGATTTCATTTTGGGTACATCGATAAACTTGGAGATTCGAAGGTAGCTTTAGAAACATCATAGATCCGAGGGGTATAAAGATAAGATTACGAGATGCGGGCTGGTGGGGAGCCTGCAGGAAGGCGACCAATGTGAAAGGACAAATGAGCAGATATTAGTTGTTTAAGCCAGTCAGTAATAAATAATTATTTTCAATGGAAGAACATGTATCCTTGTCTAAAATAGTAAAACTAAACGTACTACATTGAAAATGGGCCGGCATTATGGACCTAATATTATGGACTTGCGCTTTTATAGACTATATATATATGTATGACTCGGCAACTCAAGCCTTGTCTAAAATAGTAAAGCTAGGATAAAATAATATTTAACATTGATAAAGGCCGGTTATCCGGGGGGGGAAAAAAGATAAAGGCATTCTTGTCGCGTGCCTATTGCCTGCAAAGAAGTAAAAAGCGCCAGAAAATCAAAAGAAGTGGAAACTTTTCCTTCAATCTCACGTGCCACTATATCTTTGGGATTTTAAAGTAATGTAAATAAAGTATAATTTCGTGCACTCCGATCTGCAAATACATACAAGATACAGCTCGCTAAGCATGCACAGAAAATTTCTCCAAAAAAGGAGGGGAAAATGCATAAAAAAGAATATTCATTAATATGTATAGAAAAGATATGACTCCCGATTTGAGTTTCATTAAATAAACATCGATCACATCATGATATACATACTGTTAGGATTGTGTCTTTGATTTTTTTGTATAACTTCATAATAATTAGATAGGTTTAGAGATCTATCATGATTAGGAGATTGGGTTTCATCATGATTAGGAGTTTGAATCGTATTCTAATTAGAAAGTTAGGCTAGAGATAGAGTTTTGGTTTCCCTATATATATTCTATCTATTGTTAGAGAGAAAAAAAAAGCAGAGGAGAGAGAGCCAATATTCTTGTAATCTAGGGTTAGCAGAAGGCGTAGCCTGATTCAGGAATATTGTGCGAGATGCGAGGGTTTCGTAGTCTTTATCCGTGCAAAAGATTACATCATTGGGAGAGAGTTTCATAGTTTTTGTCTGTTCAAAAGATTATAAGGAGATAACTTTGAAGAGAATATGAGAGTTGAACATGTATATGAGGTTGAGAGATTAAGAGACAAGAGTTGAGTGCTTCCTCTTGTAATTCTCCCTGATTCATAGTGGATTTCTCGTATTGTTGCCCATGGACGTAGGTCGAGGTTGAATATGAGAGTTGATTATGTATATAAGGTTGAGAGATTGAGAGACGAGAGTTGTGTGGTTCCTCTTGTAATTCTCCCTGATACATAGTGGATTTCTCGTATTGTTGCCCGTGGACGTAGGTCGAGGTTGGTCGACCGAACCATGTAAATCTCAGTGTTCTTTTTTCTTGATTGTGGTTGTTTTATATCTTATTGATTGTGGGTTGGCTTCCAAGTTGCGGAGATCGTAGTTGGCGGGGAGACTAAAATTCTCCCACAAGTGGTATCAGAGTGAAGATGATGGATCCAGGAGCGAGTTCGCAAGGTAGAAGATAACATCGTGCAAGATTGAAGATCGATGTTACAAGAATCAAGATGAAGAAAAAAAAGAAGATTAATTTGTCTTTTGATCGAGTGCTTGGAGGCAGATTTTGACAATCCATGAGTTGATTCCTAGGTTTTGGAGTGCTCTGAACGAGATGGGAGGATTTGATTTTATAGATTTTGCTTAAATTAGTCGAAAGTGCTAAAAAGTTCTGATGGCGATGGCGAGACAAATCTAATGGCAGATAGGGTAAACAAGTATGCGACGTGTGAGACTAGTATAGAGAATCAGATGTAATTCTAGCAGTAGAGTTGTCAGCATATAATTATTTAGAGTCATGACGAGAGCAGTAGTTGGTTGGTGTGTAGACTCGAGGAGGACAGTGCCAGATTAGGTGGAGCTTGCAAGCAGGCACGACTGAGTGAGACACATGCTGATGGAGATGGTGACATTGGACTTGAAGACAATGAGCGCTCATATTCAGTCCAAGTGTCACGTCTCACTTCCCAAAATACAGGAGAATCGAGACATGAACAAGTCCGCGACGTATTAGATTGAGGAGAACAAATAAATAAACCATTCTTCTTAATCTAATACGCTAAGCGTCAAGAAAATAATATAAGTCACAGGTCCTCGATCACAGATAGTAAGAATATTATAAACAACCAGAACAATAGGATACATACCACAAGAAAATATACCATCCGAGACAACATAAAAGAGTCCACAAGTCCTAATACAAAACGTGTAACTAAAACTGGATAGTCATAAAATAGCATCAACTGAACTGAAAGGGAAAAATACGACAAATGTCCAATGACTAATAACTACTACATGAATAAAATATCTACGATTCGGTTTTATCTTCTCCTCCATCTGGTAGACACTCCGAGCTGGGGGTACTCTGGCTCCAATGTACCAACATACTGAACATGTCTGTCATCTAAATCTGACGTACACCACAGAAAATAGGTGTATGTCAGCGTACATGGCACATAGTATGATCCATAAGGGAGAAAGAAACGGTCGAATGACCAATGCAAAAATAGTAATAATAATAATATAAGCATGCTACTGGAATACTAATAATCTAAATGTAATTTATTACTAGAATATAATAATCAGAAGAATCCAAGAAAATCAACCAAGTAACAAGTCGATCATGCAGCTAGCGATCAGAATAATCATCCAAGTAACAAGGTCATAAAACTAGATGGAATTAATACTTAAAAATCTACAACAAGAGACGTAGTACGTCGACCGAAATAATCCAAACAAGGAAACTCTCATGTATATACCATATGTCTCAAATTATAGATAATTAAATATTAATCCCGATCTATGTATGAAAAGAAATACAACTGGTCTGTATCTCACAAGAATCCATAATCATCTTAAGTAACAAGATCATGTAACTAGACATTCTATAACAGGTCACTGGTCCACATCTCACACAGAGTCAATGCTCATATCATCGGATAACTGACTGTTCACAAATCTCCTATGTGCATCCAATACCGCTACACGAATCGGTCAGAGGACTACACGCAATCCGATTCCGGCCTGGTCCGAACTCAAGCAGGACTCAGGTGACTACAAGATTTTCACTAACTAAAGTGACTACACGAATTCACTTTAGCCCAACAAAACCAACCCCAATGACTACACGAATTCACTGGTGCGAGCCTGAAAAATACATCAACAGTCACATCCGATCACATGAACTAAGACTTCCCAATCCAACTCTTCTTGTTTTTCTAAGTCAATAATTATAAACTGAACTAGATCTCTGGTCCACCTCTTAAATTCAGTCAACGCCAGGGGCGGATCTACGTATAATCTAAGGGGGCCACGGCCCCCCCCCAAAATTTTACGAAAAAAAGATAGGGTGGTTTCTGTAAAACCTCCTCCCTTAAAAATTAAAATATATTCATTCTACATAAATTTTTGTCTTCCTCTTTTGAAATATTTTGCAGATATTAATGTTGGCTATTCTACTCTTTTTGTTTGGGTTGTGGTGTATCTCTTGTGAATAAAATTGCATTAAGAAAATTTTTTGTCTATCTTTTGTACGCGGCTTTTGTACGCGGCCCCCCATAACTAAAATCTTGGATCCGCCCCTGGTCAACACACACATACATGTCACTAAGTCTTGTTCATGATGTACAAAGCCACTAAGTCATGAACTACTAGTGGTTCTTAAACACAACAAGGAACAATAAATATAGCTAATTCTATGTAATAAAAC